AGAAATATGGTGGGAATTAAGTTATATTTTATCACTTTAAACAACAGAGTAATAGAGATTTTACAGAAAAACAAAGCTACACAAAGCTACAATCACAAACCAGCAGCACTGCAAACAGGAAGCAGGAATAACACTGTCCAACAGCTGTCCAAAGTCAAAAGAATTGACTGCATAAAGAAATGCATTTTGGCATGATTAGGAAGTCATAGCATGATACTTAACCTACCCAGTTGAGTGAGAAGTATGGGAGAAAAGTCCATAGAGGGCTAATACAGTTGCAGTGTTACCTGGAACCCAATATTTGTCAAAGCCTTAATGTTGCGTTGTCACTGACTGGCAGAGATGAAAAGCAGGAATGAAGACCGATTTGTTGCTGGCTGCCTACATGGTACTCAACCACAGTCTTTCACGCTCTTTTGGAATGTGACTGTAGACAAATGCTCCGTGATATCCATGCGGTCTTAGAGGCATTTAGACTAATAAACAGAAAATTAAAGAAACAGACAAAAAGCAGGGTTAAGTCGCATTAGAGACACTTTAACTTTCTCTATAAATATGAAATAAAGCATACACAACATGCCACTGACCATCCATGCTACTTCGTCCTTTCAGCTTAAAATGGATTTAAAAAAGACCACCTCAAACCTAAACACTTAGCTGTACATGGTACATTCCAAATATAGTGGCAGCACAGACAAAGCAATTTAATATCGATAGATGTCAGTATAGGGTGTAAAATCATGGACATCAGTAAGATGTAAGAGTCATGCTGATGCTCACAGAGAGAGGAAAAAAATAAAAAATAAAAAAAATTCACTTGAAGGCACCAGAAGACATGTGAACCCAAAGGGTCATTGATGTACAACAAGTATAAGCCACAAAATTGTAATGACGGCAAGACACTCAAACAATTTAACAGCAACAATCCATTTAAACTGCCTTCACTCCAGAAAACATTTCACCTGTTGGTGCACAGTTCCTCGGAAATTCAGATCTAATATCACAAATACCGAAATCGTTTAACCTAACCAAATGCCACAGTGAAGTAACCCATTTCTTGCACAATGCCCAGGAAAGTGAAGGATCTGAAGCAGCAAAAACCAGAGCAGATTATGTGAAACCCAAGACGTTCATATACTGTCAAGCAATAAGCTCTGCATTTGAGCTTTAAAAGTCTTACAACTCATTGTATAGTCAGAGCCCACATTACAATAAAGAAACGTTTGCCACTGTCACAGCTCTTCTAAAATAATTATTCCTTAAAGTCACAGTTTGTCTGTAGGTAAAAAACACCAAGTTCAGAAAGCAGAGGAAATTATTCTTAGCAAAAAAATAAATAAATAAAGTGAATATACCACAGATGAAAAGAAAAAACAGACGTGAAGGCAAAGGCATATAAGATATAGGCTAAGCTCCTCACCTGATGGCATTTCTCTTGATGGTGACCATGATTTCACCAAGTACAACATGTTCCTGGATCACCATCCTTGTTGATCCTGGCACAACATTCCTATCAACTAATCAGAATGCCTTCATATGTTTTTTTTTCTCTCTTCATCTGTGGTAAAGGCAAACAAGATATAGGCTAAGCTCCTCACCTGATGACATTTCTCTTGATGGTGACCGTGATTTCACCAAGTACAACATGTTCCTGGATCACCATCCTTGTTGATCCTGGAACAACATTCCTATCAACCAATCAGAATTGAGGGATAACTTTACAGGAAATATCTGTTTTAGGCTTACAATCAGGGTTAGGTGCTTCTACACCCTTGTTAATCAGCTATCATTTCTCACTGTTTTTAGGAATAAATTATGGGTAGGGTTAGGTTTAGGGGTAGGGATTGGGTTAAAGGGGTCATATGATGCTGCTAAAAAGAACATTATTTTGTGTATTTGGTGCGACCTTCTCTTGATGCAGTTCAGCTGTCACATTTGTCACATTCCACATGCGGTCTTCGTCCTTCAACAGGACTGTTATCAAACTCAAAAGCAACTCCTGATTGTCCTGATTGGCTTATTACTAGACATAGGTTCTCATTAATAAAAAAAAATACACAAGATATATAATCACAAAAATGAACGAAGAAGAAAAGAGCCTACCTTTCAATGATTAAAGCAGGAATACTTTCAAACATGCAAATCTCTTTCAACATCCTTACACCACAACTGCCATCTCATACTGACAAACTTGGCCCATAGCTAGTGGGCATTTATAGTGATGGGCAAAACCATTGACAGTCACGCAAGCTAACAGTAATTAAATTAATAAAAAACTAAACTATATAACTATAATCAACAAATTATTTATCAGTCATGTATACAAATTCCATCATTGGTAAGGCATTCAAATAAAAAAAAAAGAAAGAAAAAAAATGTCATTTTATTTTTTTAAATAACAAACAACCTCCTTCATCCTCTGCTCTTGGTTTCTCCCACCTCCCATAATGCACCACAGCACAGATATTCCAGACATTCCAGCAGTGCCTCTGGTTGCCAACCGCCATTAAATTTAAAAGAAGAAGAAGAAGTGCCTCTGGTTTTTCATCTGGTTTGCAGTAAATTAGCACATTTTGGCTGGTTTGAATTAGTGATGGGAAACTGAGGCTTTCTGAACCGTTTGAGGCTTTCATCAAATTGTGCCGAAAAACGGTTCATTACTCGAAGCTTTTTAACACAGTGCACATTAGCGACATCTGGTGGTCAGACTCTGTTTCTCCAGCCTATCTAACGAAACATCGCGGCGCAGAGGATGGTTTGAAAAAGTTTTTAATCTGTGCCAACTCGTGTCATGCGTAGTCCGGTCAATGGATTCACATATTGATCAATAATATAAAATATACAAGTGTGTGATTATAATTAATAATTGACGTGAGTAGTAGCAAAAATATTTTGGGTGAGCTGTTCGGGGTCTCTGAGACCCCAGCTAGAACATGATAAAATGCAATAGAGGTGTGACGTGCATTCAGTTTCTGTCTGGTGTTGAGGTTATTCTAAACTATTCTACTGAATCCCAAATAAGTGTACACACACACACACA